TGGGGGCCCCCCGTAGCCGGCGTATGGGGTATAGGTGTGATGCAAGGAAGCGAACCTTGCTGCTGCTGCTACTGTTGCTGCTGCTGCTGCTACTGCTGCTGTTGCTGTTGCATCTGTCCCTGCTGCTGCTGCTGTTGATGCTGCTGTTGCTGCTACTGTTGCTGCTGCTACTGTTGCTGCTGCTGCTGCAGGAGCATATTCGTTATATTTTATTGTTCGTTATTGTTTTTTTTTTAATTGTTTTTTTGTCTGTCTTTTGCGTGTGCATGCAGAGGTGCATACAGCAGCAGCAGCAGCAGCAGGAGAAGCAGCAATAGAAGCAGGGGAGGAAGCAGCAGCAGCACGCTTCCTGCTGCAGCCGGAGCAGCTGCAGATACACCACAACACCACCACAGGCAGCAGCAGATCTATTGCTGCTGTTTATGCTGCATGCAGCAGCAGCACCTTCAACATAGCCGCAGCAGCAACAGCAGCAACAGCAGCAGCAAAGCAACCTCAGCAGCAGCAGCAGCAGCAGCAGCAGACTGAGGGCTCCCCCCTATCCAGGGGTCCCCAGCATAACCTGCAAGCGAACACACCTGCTGCTGCTGCTGCTGCTCCTGCTGCTCCTGCTGCTGCTGCTGCTGCTGGGCTTCACTCTGCTGGGGCTAAGGCAGCAACTGCAACAGCAACACGCTGGCCGCGTGTCGGTGGTGAGAAAGACAGCAGCAACAACAACAGCAACAGCAGCAGCAGCAGCAGCAGCGGCAGCAGCAGCTGCAGCAGCAGCAGCAGCAGCAGCAGCAGCAGCAGCAGAGAGAGAAAAGAAAGAGGAGGCGAGAGAAGCTGCTGCCTGGACGTGGGTATGGCTACACCCAGCCGTGCTGCAGCGCATGCATTTCTTTCTGCTGTTGGTGTTGATGTGGGGCTGCATGCGCAGCAGCAGCAAGCAGCAGCAAACACAGCAGCGCGAACAGCAGCAGCAGCAGCAACAAACATACAAACCCACCAATCACCTGCTGCTGCAGCAGCAGATCCAGCAGCAGCAGCAGATGCAGATGTAGCTACAACTACAGCAAGTACTGCTGCTGCTGCTGCTGCTGCTGCTGCTGGGGATACACCCGAACGCCGAAAGCAAAAACAGAGAGAAGACGCAGCTGCATCAACAGCAACAGCAGCAGCAGCAGCAGCAACAGCAGCAGCAGCAGCAGCAGCAGCAGCAGCAGCAGGGGAGTCAGAAGGAGAGGGGAGGTCTGATGATGAAGTTGTTATCCTTGAGGAGGCAGCAGCGCCTCCGCTGCCTCGAGCAAGCAAGCAGACAGCAGCAGCAGCAGCAGCAGCAGCAGCAGCAGCAGCAGCAGCACCAACAGCAGCAGCAACAGCAACAGCAGCAGCAGCAGCTGCTGCTGCTGCTGCTGCTGCTGCTGTAGCTCAGGCAGCTGTCGAGGGATCCGCAGGGAAAGAACGAAGGCCCCCGCTGCAGCTACAACAACCCCACCACTCGCTGCTGGGGGGTGGGTGGGGCCAGCAGCAGCAGCAGCAGCAGCAACTGCAGCAGCAGCAGCAGCAGCAGCAGCAGCAGCAAACTAGCAAGGATACGTCATCAGAAGCACGAGCCAGACAGCGTATCCATGAGTTGCTGCAGTGTAAGGATCAACACACCCACCAAAGCCCCACACACTGCATGCATGCATGCATGCGTATGCATGCGTATGCATGCATGCATGCATGCATGTTGTTTG